CTAAATTTTTCTTAAATTGTTATTCCACGCATAGAAAAGGTTTCAATTTCATAGAACTTACTGAATTTTCGAAAAATAGAAAAGTTAGAAATAATACCATAATGTATGGGCTGTTGTAGCACCACTAGTTTTATATTGATTAGTTTACAAGCTAAGCCCTATTAGAATTCGATCCTCGAAAAAACGTTTTCGCCCAGCCCAATTAGAATAGTAGGAGTATATAATGCATCTAGTTTATGTTATGTTTTATTGCATGAGTACATGTTTTTGGAATAAGCGACCATATGATGAGTCAGTTGGCAGAGGAGTACGAATGCAATAAAGCAACGTTAGAGACGAGTTGTAGGCTATACTCTCTTTTTTGAACTACAGAATTATGATTATGAAGGAAATTATGAAGGAACCCAATTTATTTTTGGAAACAAATATCAAAATCAGTTTTGTGTTAGCGCCAAAGAGGGACGCCGGGCAGGGAGGCCGGACACGAAAGGCAGGCAGGGACTGTGAGTGTGTTACTCGTATGACGCAATTATTCTCGCTGTAAGCGACCGAGGATCATAAAATGCAATTTTATTAGCGATTTCTTGCAATGGAAAAGGTATTTTATAATACTTGTACACAAAAAGTCTTACCGAGAGGTCGGCAAACCTATGCAATCTGTGTATTAAATCGACAAGCTTCAGAAAGTCTATTGCAAAATATGGGGGACAAAAAATGTATAATTTATAATTTACATACCATGTCTATTATATGAGGGATAATTTTGTTCAAAGTTAATGAACCATTATTCTTAGTTCAAAAGTCGTTTTGCTTCTCGCCCTTACTTCGGAAAATTAGTAAATCATTAATGAACGCTTTTCTCAAAAACCGCTCCAAATTGTTCTTTAAACGTTTCACACGGATAAACAAGGAATGCTTAAAACAATTAGGAATGTCCCGTTTTAATTGATCACTCTCAATTTTTGAAAATTGCGTGTTGGAAATATTGGGTTAAGACAATTAGATTTTTAAGCGTCGGTCCGAGTTGGTTACCAGACCAGCTTGTTTGGTTTGGAAGTAAGGGAACTGTGGCTGAACCTAATGAGGAGACCTAAGTTCGAGTCTCTATGCGGAAAAAAACTTTTGCCGAGTGTCCAAATTTCGCCGAAATTTCAGCCAAAATTTCAATTTAAATGAACACAAGGTCCTCTGAGTTTGAAACGAATATTTTGATTTTGTTGGAGGGGAGATATGAATACTAAACGATAACCCTCAACATTTTGAAAATTTTCTCAAAACTGGCTTCAAATTTTCGAATATACTTTGTTCTCGTTCAGCTTAAAGGACGCTTACGGGAATGGGGCAAGTCACGATTCGTTAAAATACCTGATATTTCGAATATTGCAAAAGTTCAAACTATTTTTCGGCGTCTTCAGACAACCGCAATATTGAAGATAGAGATGTCTTTCTGAATGAAATATATTCCTTAAAGACATCTTTAATTAAGATAATGAACAAATCTTCTAGAATATGAGTAATTTTCGGTTAAAGTTAGAAACACGGTACACCCTTAGAGAAGCGTGGCGGTGAGGAGGGGAGGGGATAAGAGGGGGGAAGGGGGAGAGAGAGAAGGGGGAGAGAGAGA